TTTCTTAAAGAACATTAAAACATTAATGTCTGAAGACCACCACTTCCTAATTATTGGCATACTTACACATTGGGGGTAATATTACACATAAATATCCAAAGAAATTCTCCATCATATCATGCATCATTTCTTTAATGTAATATCCATCACCTAATAAATGAGTGTTTGGACAAATATTAAATCCAGCTCAGGTATTTAGATAAATACAAAAATTGTTGGTTATGCAGAAGTGTCCATTTTAAATGAATGTGTATGTGGACATTCTGTGCACTGGCACATGACTAAATTGCTTTAATTATAATCTTGACATCATTCTTCTAATAAAAGAGCAATGACGACTAAGTGACTGCTTTTAATAGATAATCCAACTATCCCCTCATTATCCTATGAAATAAAATGTCTGCCTTTACTGCCTAGAATAATTCCTAGAATCTTTTTATTGTTTCTGCAAATGTTAAGTCATACAAAATATTAGCCCAGGAAAGTGATGCAAGTTCTTCAAAAATTTGGTTTTGTATAACTTTCCTACGGAAAAAAACATCAATTTTCAAAGTAAATTGCTATTCTGTGTGGTTATGAACCATAGTCATCGAGTGTGAATACAAAGCCAAAATCATTGAGTACTTACAAAAATTGTATTTCTTGTATTTGAAAGTGGTTTTAAATTGTTTTAAAGTCATAATTCACATAAAGTTATTCTAACATGGATGCCCATTTATGTTCTGTTCATATGGTCAAAATAACAACCACAATTAGATCATTTAAATTTTTAATTTAAAAAACTGAATTTTACTCATTTGAATATATGTTGAATTATGTCTCCAAATACATTTAAATGTTTTCTTAATCATACATTCTTATTTCTCTAAGCATTCATTTAACTATACATAAATGACTGAATAACATTTAATCAGTTGATCCTCAAATGAAATGCCGATCATGAAATCTAACAATGTTATTTTTATATAGTTAGGTAGATAAAAAAAAATTAACACTAAAATGTGCTGGCTGATTTTTCACATTTACTGAATACCAATTTTTTAATTAAATATTTTACTGCTGCATTAAACTTTGAAGAATTTAGAAAGGAAAATCCATTGCATGAGAGTGAGATTTTTTAGACATTTGCTTTCTGAATCTGCCTGCTCGGATGTTAAAAATTCCAAGTTTTGCTGCACAAGAAATTAAAAAAAAAAAATCACAGTGCTTTAGCTAGAAAAAAAAAACGATCTAAAACAAGATAACTTTTCCCATTTGGTTTGGGTCTTTATATCATCATTTTCTTAATAATCCTCAGAAAAATCTCCCTACAATTAGTTTCTGAAGTAAAAAAGCATCAAGGAAAAATATTGCACAGCCCTTTGGAATTGCAGTGATGTAAAGCTTGATTTCTTTAATAGAACAATGTATAGTCAAGATTTTTTTTAGTCTTACTATTCTTTAGTAGCTAAGGCAGGTATTATTTTCCAACTTCTTTTATGGGAAGACAAGTTTGAATATTTTGAAAATTAGCTAATAACAAAATAGTTAATATAAAGCACTGCTAGAGTTCTGGTGACTCTCAGTACTTTCAAAGAAACAATCACGTATGTATTTTATTCATTCAGCTTTCTTCAGTGCACATTAATAAAAATATGTCCTGAGCCGAATGAATCCAAATGCCACTTGGTGGCAATACGTTAAGGTCTTCGAAAATGACCAATTTGAAAATGGTCCATTTTGCATCTTCTGGAATAGTGTAGGAAATATTTCAAATTAGAATACCCTAAGTCAGGACTTGTCCTCTCCCTTAGTTAACTGACAGAGAGAGGAAGAAATGCTTATTATGTAGGAAAATAAAATTGCCAATGACACCATTAGAAATAGGCCTTCCATTGAACAATACATTATGGAAATTTATTCATCAGGAGATGAAGATGAATCTCTTATCTCAAATCAGAATAGCATATAAGAGTTTCCACTCACTGAACATACATATACTTTTTCCTTGCATCCCCCTTTAGCCAGAAGAGCTAAGAAGTCATGAGTCCTCAGTGACAATCCTCCTTAGCCAAGTCTCCATTGATTCACCTCTCATTTCTTTGAGCATCTCTCCAGGCTCTTCTGATCCACCTTTCACCTCCTTTCATAGCATCATTCTGCTCATACCCTACATCTCTTTTCTCTTACTGGCTTCACGTCTCATCTACCTTATTTTGTCTCTCTTGAGTCTCATTCCTATTTACATCCCTCACCTTTCTTCTCACTGACTAGAAAAGTCATAGAGAGATAATGTTGATCTAAATAATAATTTCACAATTTTGTAAAATCACTCAGATGTTGGGGATTTAAGGCACACATTTCTGTAAATAATGTTACCTAAAGTCATAAAGTCTCTATTATATGCATTATCATATTTTGTAGGTTTTAACAACATGGTTATGAGGGCATTTTGCAGTGACAAAATTCAGTAATGTTATTTTATCATTAACAAGCTTTCCCCCAGATATTGTGGGTTGTTTGTTGTTGTTGTTGTTTTTACTCTCTAGAAATTGCAATACAGGTGTGTTTCTAGTAGTTTTCCTCATCTCCATTGATGGACTGCATTCATAGAATATACTTCATAAATTTTTACAATCATATACTGTAACACTTGTAACACACTTATAGAAAATGCATGTTAATCAATAACATACCCATCAAGAAATAAATGCAAAAGGAAGAATAGGCATCATATCTCATACATATTTCTTCTTATATTCTTAAGATTTCCCTATCATCTTTATACATGCATATACACAAAAGCAATTTAAGACCCCAAAAAAGTTAGCATTGTAAATGCTGTGATAGGAGTAAATAAAACTTAACTGAATTAAAATAATAACCTAAAAACATATCATAAAATAGGGTCCAAAAATAGTATAAGAACACCTGCCTCTTGATATAGAGTAATTTATCATTTTTCCCTTCAGTAAGTAGCTCTCATAAAAATTAATTAAAGAAAACTTTCTACCTAGAGGAAAGCATCAAAGTCACATTAAAATACTAATCTATTTATTTTTAAATGAAAGTCATAGATTTTGCTCAAGGATGTGTAAATTAATTATTAAGGTAGGACAAATTTCCTCTGTGTAATAATTGTTCCACTTTAATAATGGCTGTTTGTAAGAGAGAAGGGGGAAGGGAGGGAGGAGGAGAGAGAGAAGGAGAGGGAGAGAGTGAGGGGGAAAGAAAGGTTTTCAGGTCTGCAATTGTTTAAATGTATCTTTTTGAACTGGCAACACATGAACTAGATGGCCCTCATCTGAAGTCCCTGGTAACTTTCTGAGTTTGTGCATTAGTGAAGTGCTTTGTGGTAAAAATAAGATTTCCTTCCTACTCTTACAACTTTTAATTGCTTATTTTATCAAGGGAGCAGTTATCCTTTGTGTTTTAAGACCACCTATCTACCTTAAGAATATTTGACCTAATAAACCAGGTCTGTAAGCCCCAGATACGAATCACCTAGAGGTTCTCATATAAACAGGTTTCTGTTTAATTTCTAGAACACAGGACACTGCTCAAAGTGGGGGAAGAAAGGTTCCTTTGTAAGTTCTGTAGCATTATCTTATTGTAGCAGTCAGCTACAGTTTGTCTACAAGGTGTCATATACTTCAACTATACATGGTAATTTAGATTTTACAAGGGATGTTGACAACTGAGTTCCTTTTAGTTGGTAAATCCAGGGTTCTTATGATTTAAAGTTGCATTGTGAGAAAGTCAACCTCTGCAGAAGTTTTCTGCAAAATGATCAACAGTAATGCTGTTTTACAACAAAACCCTTTGCTCCCTTTAAACTGATGATGATTTCTTGGTTTGTATGCCAAATGTGTACATGCCTAACAGATGCTACCTGACAGGAGATGGAATAAACACTATGGGGACTAATTAACAGGTCTTTAAAAACTCAAATAATCTTGAATATAGTTTATTTTACTTTCTTTTTAAAACTTAGAAACATTGAATACAATTTGCTTATGGACATATGCCAATGGACATTTATTCTACTGTCATATGAAGGAAGAACACTTACAACAGAAGCTGGTCATCATCATTTAAGAAGTCCCCTCTTTGGGGGAAAAGGATCCTTCCAACTGTTTGCCTGGGGAGAAGAGCTGGAAGCATCATCTCCAACTTCTACTTCAACCCTCAACCAGTTCCCAGTCCCAGCGTTTCATGCCCCGCATTGCCCTCTGCAGATGACCTAAAATGGACTATCCCAGGAAAGTGACATCTGTCGTCGATCCATCGACTTTACTGTATTGTGAACCGGGGGAGCTTTGCACAGCAGGCATATGCACATGTCCTCACAGGCTCGCGCTCCCTCACACGCTCGTTCTTGCTCTCTCTCTCTGTCTCTGTGTCTCTGCCTCTGCTCTCTCTCTCTCTCTAAACACACGCACACTCATACACACACCACCACAACCACCACCGTCACACACCCCACGTAGTCTAACAACAAACACACAGGATGGGGAACGAATCACCCTCTGGGATGGATTCTAAACTTCCGACCCTCTGCAACCCCCAAATGTTGTGTTGTGGATTTAGCTAGCTTAGGAGCCCAGTTTACAGCTCTGCCAGCCTTCTGCCCTAGAAAGTCCCTGGTGTCTGTGTTCAGGAGAAAACCTATTCGACCCGTACGGCCACAAAAGAGTAATGAAAACCACATAGAGAAATTAACAAATAACCAGAAGCAGCCAATAAGCCATGCAATATATGGGCGAAAGGCCGTAAAGTTTCAGTAGAGGACAGCAAACTGAAGTTTGTGCGGGGCTTATCTTAGACCCAAGCCCTGCCACTGAGCGGGGACTAGAAGGGATGGGCAATTAGTCCTTCTAGTCCTCTTTTCCCACAGACTTAGAACGTGAGGAGTAGAGGCAAGCTAGTTAAGACACTCTGCAAAGTTGGATGAGAATGATGAAACATACAGAAGAGGGCAAAGGGCGGGGGGAGAACAAGCTAAAAAATAAGTATCTCACCTGGCATTGGTGCAATCGGTGAACAAAGTTTCGAAGTCTTTTCTGGTGATAAGTTTGCAGCGGTTCACCCCAGGCTGGATGGCCCCCAGACCGCGGAGGATCCGGACCTGCTCCACAGTACACACCACGGGGGATATGTCCAGTCTCTTCAGCTTGGTGTACACCGTGTGCAACCCTCCCACCAGGTGCTTGAGGAAGAGATCAAAGACTTGAGGCAGGCAAATCAGTTCCTGACCGTCCATCAGGAACGAAGCCACCTTCACACCATGCATGTCGACCATCCTGCACTCGGTGTTAGTGTTGCCGCTGCCTCCGCTGGGTCCACCGATCCCGCCACCCCCGGCGCTGCCGCTGTGGTTATTGGCCATGAAACTGTTGATCATATTAGGGGTGAGACGGGGAGGCTCCCCGGGAGTCGAGTACAAGGTCTCTGCCCGAAATAAGCCCCCTGGGACGCCGGCACCGCTGGAAGTTGCAGAGATCACCGGAGGTGCGGAGACAGCCATGGTCATTCAGTCTCAAACCGTAGGTCTTTGGGCCCTGTTTTCTCGCCCTGTCTCCTCTAGATCTGCTCGCACTCGCTCCCTCACTCTCTCGCGCTCTCTGTGGCGCGCCCTGCTCTCTCCAAACTGTTCTCAAGTCTACAGTAACCCGGCTCACACACTCACGCTCACCCAACACCCAACGAACAGCGAGTAGCCGGGACGCGCGGCGGTCCAAGAACCCACCCCCAACACACCCCCTTCCGAGACTGGCAGCATGCCCCAGCCAATGGACCCCACCCTCTTCGGCTCCCAAGCGCACCGAATGGCTGCTCCCCGCAAGGAGGTGGAGACTCCCTGGCCGGCCTCCCAACTACCTGAGGCCTTTCTGGGTTCGCTGGCGAAGGAGGATGGAGCCCGAGAAGAGGGCGATATGGTTCCTCCGCTTCTTCCTAGCAGACGAGAGAACGGCCAATTATCACACAGAGCTCTCAAAGTGGCCTAGGCTACAAGCGCCTCCCCCTCCATGCCCCACCAGTGTTGAGGTGGGAACACAAAGCAGGACTCCAAAACATGCCTCTCCGCAACCCTGCGCCACCCTGCACCTGAGTTCAATTCAAGAAAGGGTGGTGGCAGCTCCAATTCCATTTGCACGTTGCTCCCATACTCTGCGGGGCTAAGAAAGCTTTGCCCCGCTTCCAGGAGAAAGATTCTAGTGAGTTCCGAAGTAAACAGTTCAGGCCACCTAGAGCGCTTAGTGTGAGTTCTCCAATACCCAGCGCACACGGAACCAGCATCCAAAACCGCATTCAAATCAGAGTTGCAGGTTGCTAACCCGCTCCTGCACGCGCAGGGAGCCTGTGATCACTTTGGAAAAACAGGCTGAGGGACTTTGTTTTGCGAGTGGTGGACGGATGCCTCATTTTACAGTACTTCCACCACTGTCCTGGAATAGACTGTTTTTTCTGTCTCCATTCCTTAGTTTCAAGATTCTCCTGCCCCATCCCTGGCTAAAATTGATAGGAAAAGTTCCCGTGTGACTCAAAACAGTCATTACAAATATGAGAGAAGAGCAAGGGTTTGCATTCTTTAATACTGCGTTTTCTTCCCTTGTCTATGGGCTTTGATGGTCCGGTAATTAGAGCTCCATGTCCTGCACTGAAGCTCAAGATTCCTCTTCCCCCACATGTCAAGTGCCCCTAAACGTTTGCACTACTAGAGCTCGTGATAAGCAAAATGTCTAGGCAAGGTACATTCCAGGGAAAAGGCATGGTCTTTCCCACACAGCATTTGGCAGTTAGATCACTGTAGCAAAATTGTTTTAAGACTTCTTTTCCAGCTTTTGATTCTCTGAAATCAAGGTATTTCCTTTCCTCTGTTTCTTTCCTTTACAGGCTGTTATTCAGAAAGTGAAATCCATGCTTGGTTTTAACCAATGATATAGCTAAGGCAACTTCTCCAATATCTTTCCAAAATGTAAATAATTTTAGATCCTTGCTTAATTCTATTTAGATCTCCTTGTACTTAGCAGTATCAAAAAGTAGGAGTGGGTGGGCTTCCCCCTCCCCTTAATAAGACATAAATGTCCTAAATTGGATTTTTCTGCCTCTCTCTTCAACATATTTCTCCTTTTGTCATTTCATCAACCAAGTAGTAAAGAACTACCCTTTGAATCGCTTCATAGTGTTACAATTTTTAAAAGATTTATTTTATTATATATTATTATTATTTTATTATGTTCAATTAGCCAACATATAGTAGTACATCATTAGTTTTTGATGTAATGTTCAACGATTCATTAGTTGCCTATAACACCCAGTGCTTTGTTTATTTTAGAGTAGGAAAGAGAAAGAGAGAGAGAGAGAAAGAGAGCACCAGCGGGAGGGGCAGAGGGAGAGGAGAGAGAGAATCTCAAGCAGACTCCCTGCTGAGGGTGGAGCCCCAGGAGGGGCTCCATGCGAGCTTGATCTCATGATGCTGAGATTACCACCTGAGCTGAAATGAAGAGTCAGACATTTAACTGACTGTGCCACCCAGGCGCCCCTACTGCTACAATTTTAACTGTATGGAGTTAAAATGCTAAGAAGTTGTGATAGTTGTTTTAGAATACAGTAATAAGTGACTCTAACATAATAGGCTAGAATGCATGCAACCACAAAACACTTTTAAAAGGTATTAAATCATTTTGGTAGTTTGGTATTGTGGGAAGAAAATATAGAGCAAAAAAGGACAATTGAGAAAGGATATCAGAGGCAGAAAAAGCTTCCACAAAAAGCTAGGGGTTTTCAAAAAGTAATAGAAAAGCACTGACAGAAATGTTTTTATTTACCAATTTTTAAAAAGATAAATCCTAAATTGTGTTCAACAGTTGTTTTGACAGAAATGGCTATTAAGCTGTTTGTTAATATAACTTACCTCTGATAACTTGTAATTGAAATTTTAGGTAAGTTTGACTTTAAAGAAAGTTGTCTTCTCTTATTTTTTGAGGGGGAATTCCTCTAAATTCATTAATAATCCTAAGGCCAAGCTACTTCCTATACATGGCTGCACTCACATTATCAAATCCTTTTTATTTGCAAAGTGATGTGGAGTTTTCAGCAATAGGACATTTACACGTATATTATACTGTTTCAAATTTAAGAAATGCTGAAATATAAAAAGGAAAAGTAGAACATTCAGGCTGCAATCACTATTTGCAATACTGAAAAACAAATGCACTTTGACAACTTTAGAAAAGACTCAAACTAGATATGTCTTATATGTTTAATGTGATCTATCATATACATAGTAATATTTTATTTTATTTTATTTTATTTTTTAGACAGAGCACAAGTGGGGGGAGGGGCAGAGGGAGCGAGAGAGAGAGAGAGAGAGAGAGAGAGAGAGAGAGAGAGAATCTTAAGCAGGCTCCATGCCCAGCATGGAGCCCAATGTGAGGCTCAATCTCACAACCCTGAGATCACGACCTGAGCTGAAATCAAAAGTCGGATGCTTAACCGAGTGAGCTACCCAGGTGCCCCTGTAGTAATATTTTAATTATTACCAGAGATTAAGGTTCAAATTTTAGTAAAAATACTAACGACTAAAATTGGCCATTGATCATTTAAGGGTTAAAGTCCCTTGGAAGCCTGTCCATACACAAAAGACCCTTGGCCTCATTATTTGAATTCCTTCCCATTAGCAGTCCTCTAGAAAATAAACTTGGTAATTGTCTTAAGGGATACCTGTAATTTAAAGATTTAGTCATTTAGATCTAAGAAGCCAGATGTTGTCTCCTTGGATTTTCTTGATATTTTGATTACTCTCTTTCTATTACTGCTACTACAACTCCTGTTATCTATGCTTTGAGATTGAGATAAATTCCACATGGAGTTTGTTTTTATCCCTTTCTGACTTTCATGTCTTCCATAAGTCTAACACATTTCTAAATAAGGCTTGATTTCTACAAGGCCAGAGGAATCCTTGTGCATCAACACCCTGGAAGTTGGAATTTCATGAAGCACTATAAAATCACAAAAGCTGCAGTAAACAGAGTATCCTTGGGAGATGACTCTCCATGGAGAGAGGCACTGCACCAAAACTAAGAAAATACTCAAGGTGTATGAATTATTTCCAAACAAGAGCAGATCACCCCAGCAAAAAAGAGAACAAAATTAGTACAGATATCATATTTCATCAGAAAAATTCTAGATGGCACCATTCCAGTGGAATGATTTGGGGCCTAAGTGTAGCTTCCCACACTCTGAAATGCTGCAGTCTTCCAAGATTTAATTAGCAATTTACGTGTTCTCTTAATTCATACTCAATTTGGAGGGGAAGGATGCTCCCTCATGACTTTAGGTCAAATATTCCACTTTGACATTGTCAGTGAGATGCAGATACTATTTTAATTAAAAATAAATAAATATATTGGCAATCTTATGCAGGATTACAAAATGCCCAGAACCATTTAAAGGAGCTGGTTTTCACAATGAGCATTCAAGCAAAACCCAAGGTAATAAATGGAATTATTTGAAACCCTCAGCCAACTGACATTGCAGGCTTTAATATGGGCTCCAATCAGAACCTCTCAGGAGCCCTCTGAGGTTCATCTTTAGGCAAACAATAGAATGAAATTGATTACAATTGTCAAATCACTATGTTGTACACCTGAAACTAATATAATCTTGTATGTCAACTATACTTCAATTAAAAAATTTCATTAGGCAAGGCAAAAATGTGAAATGAGAGCATTCCTATAACTGAGAACTTAACTGGCTAAGGCTAAGATATACCCCCAATCAATGGAATATATGTTCCCTTAGGAAACTGGCTATAAAATGACCTTCTATAACATAAATTCTTTTTTCTCATTCCGTTCAGTGTTAAATTGAAGATGAGTTCCAAGGAAGCAAAGATAGAAAAAGGGGAATCACTGGAGTAAGAAGGAAACTGGTCAAAACCCAAGGAGTAACAGTTAAAATCAGATGCTTAGAGGAAAAAATGGACATTTACTAACTGAAATATAAAAAGGATACTCTCAAGGGGTCTTATAAAGTATAAGGACTTGCCAACTTTTAACATATCATACCCGGAACTGCACTGCTCTCGGGAAGAAGGAGATGTGTCTGCTTTAAATTCCACCTATGTCTCTCACTGTATTGTTCCCCTTTAAATTTTAGGCTTTCAAACTGTTCAAATTCAAGCCATTCTAATTTCAGCTGGATTCCCACTGCTACTTAGTATCCTTTTATTCATTTTGTTGACTCCCTGTTGAATTCCCTGCAACAGCTACTCCAACCCTTTCCTACTATTTGCAAATGCCCCTCCCCCTCCCTCATCAGCTATCCCTCCCTACTTCTCGATGATTTTATCACAAAATTATTCAGTGGGAGATCCCTCAACCTCCCTTCTCTCCTCCTACAAAGTTTTTTTTTTCCATATTCTCTCTTATATTCTCCTACTTCCTTCATCCTTCAGAAAATAAAGTCTCTACTCCCTTCGCTGATGCTCTTGACCCCTCTTACCTCCTCCAAGTCACTAAT